TGGTTGCCATTTAGGTTTGTTTTCTTTAAGGCAGGGTTGTTTTTCTGTTTTGTTATGAGTTAGCTTGATAATCTCAACGCGAGCACAGTATTACTAAACACAGAATTTTTTAAACACTTTTTCTCTCTTTTTTATACACATGTGTGGCTTTTTACTGTATTTCTTGGTCATGAAATTTTACTGTAATTCTTGGTCTTGAGTATGGTGTGTGTGTGGGGGGGTTATGTGCTAATATAGATGTTAGTACATAGACTACAAAATATAGATATAGACTACAAAAACACACATAAAAACCCATAAATACTAAATATATACATACACATATAGATATATAAGATGATGAATATATATATGTATATACAATATATAGTCATTCTTCAGTATCCTTGGAGGAATACTCCAGGATCCCAAACCCCAGCTGATACCAAAATCCATGGGTGCTCAAGTCCATTGTAAAAATGATGCAGTATTTGTATATAACCTGTGCACATCCTCCTATATACTCTAAATCATCTCTAGGTTACTTACAATCTCTTATACAATGTAAATGCTATATAAATAGTTGTTATGGTTATTTGTATCATCTGTATTGTTGTACATTTTTTTTCTTGAATGTTTTCAATCTGCCATTAGCTGACTCAATTAATGCAAAACTGATGAATAAAGAGGGTCAACTGTATACATACATATCATGCCAGGAATTATTGTGAAAGGCCCTATAGACTGAAAAGCATAGTGAATGTCACACTTAGGACACAATTCATGGCTGTCAAAGGCAGCAGATAGTAGCGTCTATAGTCTTTGACCGGGGTGGGAAAACTACCCTAAAGTTCTCCTAATTCATTCCCCTCTCACCTTCCATTCAGCAATACAGCAGTAAGGGCCTCCTGCTGCTACTTCTGCACCAGATAGCAAATCTGTTTAGAGCAGTCTAATTATTACACTAATAAATATTCAAAAATGTAGACCATGAGAGTAGCAACAAAAGAAAAGCATGACTTTAAGCTGAAAAAAAAAAAAAAAAAAGACAGGAAAAAAATTCTGCTCATACTACAGCAGAATTCTTTGGGTGAGTATTCTGTAATCTACTGCCGGCCAAAACAAATTTTTATGGAGCAATAAGACTACTCAAGTAGCCACTTTATGACAATAAACACCCAGAACGGAAAAATCCTTTTGTAACATAATTACTGACAATATAGACAGAAAGTAACCATTTAATCCACAGCATGTGTTCTCTACCACAAGAACTCAATAGCTGACATCAGATGGGGTGTGGCTGACCTAGGCCCCAAAAGCGAATTCTGGCCGGTGGAAGTCAGACAGCTCTGGGCTGGGCTTGGGATTCAGAAACTAAGCAGGTCTAACAAAGCCTAAGACTGTTGACCTTCTGGGCATAGGGCAAGGCCCATCTGTTTACTTGCTTGCTTTTGGGAGGAGTGGTTGTGGTAGATGAGTTAAGGCTGTGGTTATAGGGCGTTGCCTGTGATTTAATTTTAATATTTTTACCCTTACATTTTGTAAACAGTTAAAAGTTGAAAGCCGTGTATAAATTGCACACTGAAAAACAAGTAAGTGAGTTGGACAGGAAAAATAAATACTGGACAAAAATATAAGCTATTTCCAGTCTATGATCATATAGCATTTTCAAGTAGAAAATGACAGATAAGCAACTACAACCTATTTCAGGACTTATTTTAAAAATTAAAGTTTTAGCCAGTGCAGTCAGTCGCTGATGCCTACAATCCCAGCACTTTGGCAGGAGGTTTGCTTGAGACCAGGAATTCAGAAGACAGGCTGGACAACATAGTGAGAACCCTCCTGCCAACTTGGGAGGCTAAGGCAGGAGGATCCCTTGAGCCCAGGAATTTGAGCTACGATTATGCCACTGCAGCCCCATCTGAGTGACAGTGAGAGCCCATCTTCAAAAAAAGAAAAAAAAAAAAAAAGCTGTTTTCTAAACAGAAAAGGTAATAATGGTGTTGATTTTGAATAAAACTGTCTTGGGATTTCAGCTCATGTTCATTAATCAACATTCAAGCAGCAAGTGGAAAACCTTATTAAAAAAAACTTCAAATAAGTTTGTACCATTACTAGATTTATACTTTAACACACAATCTACAGCTAGATTTATGAACTTGACTGTTTTTCTCACAATATAAACACTCCAATTTAATGTGATCATTGTAACAACATTAATTTGCAAAAATATAAAGTTCCATGCTTTTCATGTTGTATGATGGAAAAAATGTCCAGGACCTTTACACGTTCACCTACTTAACAACATCCCTTCATTGGGCAAGGTTACTCCAAACTCTAGATTAACCAACACTGGCTCGAATTCAAAATGCTCTCAGCATAGACCTACAGGCCTAAGCACTTAACACTGTCTCTGCCAAGATAAAACACACCTATATTTAAGACCAAATTATTTCACTAGGTTGATAACGGCCTGCTTCATGATATATTGTAACATCTAAAACTCACTGGAGCTTGTTAAAGTGTATAATTTCCCTGCACAGGAGGCAGGGAAAATATTCCTGAGCAATGTGTATATTTCACATGACCAGAACAGCATGGATATTGTAGACCAGATGCATGCTCTTCAGAATGAACGTCAAGCATCCCGATTCGTTCTCCCCTTAGCCTGGGGAGAGTGAGTGCACTAGTGTTTGCAGACCTTCCCTTTCAGCACACACATAGGCTGCAGCTGTAGTAAACAACCACCAGCCAAGAGTTGCTAAGGTCAAGGTCTCAAATGCTCTACCAGGACCATTTCCTCACAAATGACATTCGTTTCTGAAAAAAGAACTTGGGTGGGGGATTCGGGAGATGGAGAATATTAAGGACTCATTAAGACAACAATTTTTTTTCAATAAATAGTAATAACAAGCATTACACAATAAAGTTCAGCTGACTGCACTAAGTAGTAAATAACTGAAGGATTTCAAAAATAAACAGAAACCCTCAAGAATGTTTTAACCTGACCTAGCTACGTTGGTTACATGGTCTTAGTTCAAAAATTATGAAAATTTGATGTGAAAACATTTCAAATTTCAAATTCTCCAAGTACATTTCGTCACAGTCATTGGTAGAATAATAAACATCTTAATTTTTTTATGTTCAAATTGCTCTCTCCTCAGATCAAAGGAGATTAATATACTCAATCTAGTATCAAGACAGAGCAGTCTGCAACAATAAAGATATAACTTATGCAACTGAAATGTTTGTCCTTTAACATTCTATTTCCACTATGCTTCTATAGTTTTAAATTTTCTAGCCTAAAAGTATACTCCTTTATCGGAACCAATTTCTATGTGGTTTTTAAAAATGTACACAACATGTGAATGAGGTCTGAAAATAGCACAAGCAAGCTTTTTTTTCTTGGGGGCCCTGGGGGGGGTCCACTGTTTTAATTGTCAGTTCTAAAAGCATTTCTTAGAAGACAGTATACACCCACTCCTCAAAGTGACCACTCCTATTCCCACCACAAGCTTCCTCTTGCTAAAAGCCACCAAATTTATGTCAAAGCATTTACTTATCTAAACAACTCTATCGTCCAGTAAGAAAAGGGCATGGAGGCGTCTACGTGGTTTTGCAGAATGACGTGTATTTGATTGGCAGATGTCTAGCGAAGTCACTAGATGCACATGCACTAAATGTAAACAGAGTTGTTCGTCTCTCTGATGTCACAAGGTAACCGAGAAAATCTTAACGCTAGTGAAAAATAAAACATCCGAGTGCTTGGCCGAGAATTCCATTAGCCAGTGGAATTATTTAAAACAATCCACACAGAACAACACTTAAGCCATCTACACAGTTAAATTAGAAGGCTGACAATGCTAGCTACACAAACCGTTTATTCAGATTACACATTCTGTTGCATTAATACTCTTTAACTCAACACAGTCATCTTTATCAGCTGAATTAAGACTATATTATTAAAGTATGCAAAACTCGAAGCGCAGGGCGAAGGGGGTTGGGAAGCTGCAGGGCATATAACAAAGGAATTGGTACTTTTTCCAAGCATTTGCCTCAAATGCACTGCGAAACAAAACTGTTGAGTGCACCCCACCCTTTGCCCCAAAGATAAAAGTTTTCAAAGTTCTTGCAGGCAGCACTCTAACCAACAAAAGCAGGATTGATTCTCCCCGTAGGGGAGCATCTAACGTGACACCAACTAATGTCGCGGAGGTCAAGTCCGAATCCTCAGAGTGAGCTTCTAAGGCAAGAAGTGGCTTCCAGGACGGCTCTGCGGGTTCCCGGCCCGGGTGGACGTGCAAAGTTGCCCCTTGTCAACTCCGACCAGCTCCCCCGTAATTGAAAATAACAGCCACTGGCCAGCCCCTGGCTACTAGCATGGACCAGGCACTGTAGCGAGTGACAGTTACACATCATTACGACCAGAGACAATAATGAATGTAGCACCAGGAGCACTATTCATGCCAGCAGTGTCATCTCCGCCTTAACCCCTTCCCCTCCACTATCTCCAGCGCGCACACAGAGCCCACACGGCCCCGGTGCGGCAGCTATTCACCCACTCCGCTAGAGGCCGGGGGGCCAACTACTTCCACGAGCACTCCCCCCTCCCCAGTTCAGCCCTGGGGTTTTATTTCTCATCCTTGGCAACTGTCAGGCAAACACTGCAACCAACAATTCCACTAGGGGTAGAAAAACATTTGCTTAATTCACGTTACTTGATAACTTCTTCTGAAAAAAAAAAAATTAGGGGAGGGGGGGAAGAAACCTCCTTCTTTCTTCTCCACGAATCCGACCGACGCTACTTGCTTTGCAACAGCATCGCCCTTCCCCGGCCCCCTCCCGCTTCCCAGCACTTTCCCCCTTTAAGAACACAGACCAACCAAAATGATTTAACTTGAGCAGATGACAGAAGGAAAATAAAACACGTTAAGAGAATACAGTCTGATTTGGGATGGCAAAAAAAAAAAAAAAAAAGGAGGGGGTTGTTTATTTTGATAAGAAACGGAATCGGCACAGACCTGAACAGAAGCTGCAGAGCAGGAGAAATTGTTTTCTTTCCCTCACACAGAGTCCCCCTCTCTCTCCCTTTCTCTCTCTCACACGCGCGCGCGCGCACACACACACACACTCGCACACACACGGCGTCACCCGCGCACACGCACACGCAGAGCCTCTCAGCGGCTCTCTGCAGTTCTCAGGAAATGAATGGGGGGCAACCCGGGGAACTGTTGTACTTGCAAATGACTTACCCGGATCACATGATGCGCTAAATGTAGGGTGGGCCGGTGGGTGGAGGCTGCCGAGACGCGAGCCCAGGTCTAGTGTGGGGAGCCTCGCCAGGCCCGCATCGAATTACCCCGGGGCCCAGCCCAGGGGGTTGCAGGACGCCGCTTCTCCCTCGCAGCCCGCAGCTCAGGAAACCAGAGAGGCGCGTGGGGTGGGGTGGGGTGAGCTGCGGGTGGGGGGGGCCGAAAACAAGAAACCCCAAACAAAAGAGCTCCGGGTCCTTCTCCCCAGAAACAAAGCCCCGCCGCTGCGGGCGAGCCCCGGGGTGGGGCCGAGGGCGGGGGCGGCGGCGGGGAGGGGCTCGCTCAGCAGGCGCTAAGTCGCTTTATTGCCATAAAATGGGGCCCCCGAGCCGCTCCGCCCGAGGATTAGGAGGCGGGCTCTAAGTGTGATGGTTGAAATCCCCTGTGGGAAACTAACCCCTCCCCGCTCGCAGAGGTAGAAGGCAACACCCACTGCCCGGCCCTCGCCTCCCCGCCCGGGCCGCTTGGCCGCGGGGTGGGTCCGCGGCGCCTCCACTCCACCCCACCCCGCCCCACCCCACCCCTGCCCCCGCCCACTGGTCCCGGGCCTCAGCGGAGCTTCCTTTTCACCTGCACCACCTCGCTGCGGCACCCCAAATAACCCACACATGGCCCTGGGAGCTCGGGGAGCCGCCGGCGGAGGGGGCCCGCGGGGGTTAGCGGCGGGAGGGACCCCCGCAGGGCAACTCGCCGGGCGAGGAGTCGCGCCTAGCTGCGAGAAAGTCCCCTCTTTTGTGTTAGAGCGCGCCAAGCAGGCTTACAAGGAGAATTCGGGGACCCAAAAGGCGCGCAGCCAGCTCGGACCCCCGCCCCTCTCCGCTCCCGCCCTGGTGGGGGCGCGCAGTGCAGGGAGGGGGCCGGCGTCCCGGCCGTCCCCGTGGCTCGCCCGCCAGCGAACTTAGAAAGGTGTGGGCGGAGCCGGCCCGGGCGGCCGGCTGGGGCCGCGGGGCCGCGGGCGGGGACCGCCCCCGGGCGCTGGGCATCGACCGCGCCGGGCAACAATGGGGTCGGGCCGGGGCAGCCCCGCGGGCGGTGCCCTCTGCGCGCCGGTGGGGTAGGTGGGGCGGGCGAGGGCCAGGCGCGGCCAGCAGGGGAGTCATTGTTTGGGTTCCGGAGCGACGCACTTTGCGGGCGAGGGGGGGGGCGTCCCTTCTCCCTGCGCTTCACCTTGGCGGGATGAATGGGGGCGAGAGGGAGACGCGCGCTTGGCCTCGCCACCTCAGGAGAAGGGGCTCCTGCCCGCGCCAGTTCTGCGGGAAAGAAAGAGGCAAACTTGCAGGACTGGGGCAGAGGAAGCAGGAGCTACAGACCCCCGCGGGGTCCAGGGGCGGCGGGGAAGGGAGTCCGGTGCCCTGAGCAGAGCCCGAAGAAGCGGGCGGCCGGGAGCCGAGTCCTTGACGCTTTCCCCAGCAGCCCCTCCCTCCCCGCCTCCGCGCCCCGGGGAGCGGATCCGCGGGACTGTGGGGTGGGGGAGGGAGGAGGCGGCAGGGCAGCCCTTCAGTTCCCGCGGCGGCTCGGAGGGCGCGCGGTCACTGCCGCGCCTGAGGGTCGACGGGGGCGGGGAGCAGACTGGGCGGAAGCGGCCGGCGGGCGGGGGTGGGAGACTCCTGGCCAGCCTAGGTGAGCGCGAAGCTCCGGGGACCGCAAGACGCCCGTGCTCCGCGCCCCCGCCCCGCCCCGCGTGGGAAACCGCCAGGGCGGCGGAAAGGCCGGGAAGGGGAAGTTTGTGTGCGCAGAGAAAGCTCTGCTGTACTGTGGCGTGGAGTGGGGTGGGAAGAGAAACAAGGGAGAGACTGAGAAACAGGAAATGAGAGCGAAGGCACGAATGTGAGCCAGGGCCGGCTGGGCGCCCCATCGGTGTGGCAGTTTCCAGCCACTCCAGGCCCGGTGTGCGTTCCTAATCACAACAAAGGCGGCGTCTGCCTGGTGCGTTCTCTGCCTCCAGCCACTCCTAGGATCTGAGGAAAATGGGAAGAGTGGTCCAGCCTAGAGGAGGAGTCCCAACAGCCTAAGATGCGTCTTAGGAAGACAGCAGATGTAGAGGAGGGGTCTGTCCCGGTCTTGAGGTTTCCAAGAACAAATGTCTGAAATTTGTGGAGCACTCCTGGAGCAAAGTAGCCTTAGCGGCGGGAGCGGGAAGGCGTGGGCGCAGCGAGGGCGTCGGGAGCCCAGTGGGACTGGAGGGTAAGGGATCGGTCGCCGGGGTGCGGTCTCCGTTCCAGGGAACGCAGCCGCAGCTCCCACTCTCTGATCCGATCCTGGGCAGAGGGTAAATAGCCCTTGACACTCCACAACACCCAGATGGGAACAGCACGAAAAGACAAGTTTGAAAGCAGTAGAAAATCATCAACAACTGCGCAGGATTTCAAGGAGAAACTTGCCTCTGCTAGAATCACTGAAGTTTCCCTCTAGGTGGGGCAGGGAGAGGCAGGGAGTGAAGGAAGGGAGTTTCACTGTAAGGGTGGAAGGATGCTGTAAGAAATTATGTCATCGTGGCAGTTCTTGTACTAACAGCTCTTTCTCGAGTGAGCTGAGTGGCGGACAGACCATAAATATATTCTACAGCGAGTGCTTCTGCACGTGGAAAAGCAAACTGCACTCCCTTCCTATGGCAACAGCCACGGGCATGTTAGTAGAGTGGTGAAGGACAGAAAATACACTGCAAGAAACCATTCCAGAGGGATAAGGAAACTAGGGGTAGGTCAAGGTTAGTTTCTAGTCTGGAGAGCCTATGTGGTTAAAAGAAAAAGTACATCAAGCATTGGGAAAAAATGCAGATTTTAAAAATTGTTGACAGATATGGAGTAGAAATCTTACATTAAGCCAACTCCCTAGCTATGAAAAGGGAAAGGATAAAGATGAGAAAAGCAGGCTTAGAAAAGAGAATCACTTCGTTGTGTGGACTGGGGGTGGGTGTAGAAGAGCAAAAACATTGAAAGATTAAAAAGCATGGATGATAACTGGAGTGAGGTCACTAGAGGGATATGTGTGTGTGTATGTGTGTGTGTGTGTGTGTGTGTGTACACACAGGCATGCGTTTCTAACTCAGTTCATGTAATTCTATTTCTGTATAGAGCTTGGATTTAAAGAAAACTAAGGTGTGAACAGAAGGAAAGAAGATAGGAAAAGTACACTACCTTTGCAAAGGTGCGCATTTTTAATTTAATGTTTAGACCTTTCTGCTCTCTGTGTTTGCAGAAAATGTAAAGATGGCAAAATTATTTCACTCCTTAATTCAGGAGGACCATGTAAAAGAATGTGTAGGGAGAAAGTGCAGTCATAGAATCTGGGGCTTGAAAGTATCTGTCAAATCCAATACTATATGGCTTCAATTCTGTTTAAAACCAAGATGATTTTGGTAAAAATGATAACCCATTTCCCTAACTCTATATAAAAACTTCATTTACTTAGTCTTAGATAACTAAAAGAAGAATAAATTATAAACAAAGAAGGTTAAGTTTGGTATTTTGAATTTTTTTTTTTTTAGACAGAGTTCTGTCACCCAGGCTGGAGTCCAGTGGCAAGATCTGGGCTCACTGCAAACTCCTCCTCCCTGGCTCAAGTAATTCTCCTGTCTCCACCTTCCGAGTAGCTGGAATTACAGGTAGGTGCCACCAACTCTGTATTTTTAGTAGAGATGGGGTTTCAAGATGTTGGCTAGGCTGACCTTGAACTCCTGACCCCAGGTGATCCACCTTGGCATTCCAAAGTGCTGGGATTACAGGTATAAGTCACCACACCCAGCCCTGAATTTCTTACGCATAACACGTGCATTGGATTTCTTTTACCTGACACATTGTCCAAAAAAGCACAACCAAACACCCTCAAAGCAGGTAAAATTTGTAATTCAAACAACAGAAAAATTTACAACTAGAAATAATGTTGTTACTATAAAAGTAAACGTTACCTGCCCACATACTTTTTGTCAGATCTTATTCTTAACCAGTAGTGATACTATCTTTGAAAATTAGTGGTTAGAAAAATATTTTACAGTATTAAGAGCATTACCTGTACCACACCCAGATTTCTCTAAGGTAAAAACCCTGTTCAATATGTGTGTACATTTAGAGATCGTAAGGCTTTGGATTAGTGAAACCATAGATGATTTAGCACTGATAAAATTTCAAGAAAGAGGGTAGGAATGAAGTCCATTTCAGAAGTAAAAGCTATGTTGAAAGATTCTATTTAACTAGAAATAAAAATAAAGCTGATTTCCAGAACTCTGAACAAATTTTAAAATACAGTCTTGATTTTTTTCCTGAGGTCCAAAGTGAACGTGTACTGTTAGGTTTTCAATGCCCATATTTTTCATGTGTCATATCTTGGCAATAATGTGCAGCAAAGGGGAATTTTCCCGTTCAAGTATGAGAAAGTGAGAAAGACATGTAAAAGCCTTACTGTAACTGCAAACAGCTGGTGATATTATGTGATTACTTGGTAAACACCATGTTTTGATTTGTGGGATGAGCTGTCTGCAAATTAGGGGGAAAATGCCGTTTTATAACTTTGTTTTGTTGCAATCAATACAGTTTTCGATCCTTCTTGTTTAAATATCTTCATCACATCTTCAAATGTGTCTTTTCCATCTTCTTCTAGTCAGTTTCGTTCAGGTGTTTTCCAGCCTTACCTCCACTATCATGTCCGCTGCCCAGCTCTGAACTCTGCATCTAGCCCTCTTTCGCTCAAATCCGCTAATTATACCTATCTTTGCAAACCCATGTTGGCACCAATTAGTAACAATACAATACCATGACTCATAAGGGCCCCACTTCCGTTTTCCCCTCCAGTTGATGTACATACCTTGGGATGATCTTCCTCTGTCTTCTCTGGAATCTTCTAAAAAGGATTCTTGGATACTCTGCATGCATGTATACGTATCTATCCTCTTACCAAAAAGTTACCTTTCCTTTTTTGGAGCTTGTTATGGTATAACTGAAAGAGTGCTTCAGGTACTGACTAGCTGGCTTTTCACCCTTTTTCTGATTCTCTGTTTTGCCATCTACTTAAATAATATTTCCTTCACATGGAAGGATTAATGTTTATTAGCTGCTTATCTGAGCCAATGGGAGATATATTCGCTCAACTAAGCATCCAATAAATGTTGATTCCCTCATTTATTCTTCAGGTTCTCATACCTTTCTATTTCCATGAAGTGTTGCTGGCCCACCTATTACATGCACACTTATTACACCTTTCAGAACAAGAGCTATACTTTAATCACCTATTTAGCCTTTCTTTTACCCTCACACTGTTTTGTGTATAGTAGGTGATTAATGAATGCTTCTTGAATCATGAAATAACTACAATATATAAAGTTAGAGGGACATAC